AGTATATATCTCACTTAATGATATTGTCACTCTAGTAAGCATACATTATAAGCAATTCAAGCAAATTAAAATTAGTGTCATATTTGTCATAAATAAAAATTGGCTGATGCCATAATAGACTAAGTTATGACAAATTTGGCAAATGCCAAGTTAGCAGAGGTCTGATTATGTTGCATTTTGGATAATTTTAGCTCATGATTATCTTGTGATTTTAGATGTTTCTTAAAAAAATATAAATATTTAAACAGTTTTTTTCATCATGATAGCTAAAATTTATAATAATGAAGATTTAAATACTATTAGGTTTTTTTTTTTAAAAAATGTAAAGATTTACTATGGTAAGCTAAATTGAGAACATTATAATATTCGACGTTGGAGTACACAGAGTAACCGGGTGGTTAGATTGGGCAGCGATCAGCACCCATCTTTTTGAGTTTACAACGAAAGAGTTGGAAAATTGCAGATTAAAGTGGGCATAGAAGGTATTGCATCGACGATCCATGGATCTCATCTTGGATGAATAAGACAAAGGGAGTCAAAGTAAGGAGCCGTTATATCTAGTTGAAGAAATCTTCTTTGCTGAAAGCTACTATGAGTAAACGTACTGTACGACCGTAGAGACCTGTCGGCAAGTTCTTGCATAAATATCTATATATACCGAAAGTTACGTATAATAATGATAACATATAAATGAGTACCACGAAATCCTTTCGTGCTTGTGAGAAGTTGTCCAATGTCGTTGTTTGTCCGACATATGGGTCCTAGAGTGGGCAAATCTAATATGAATCAACTACAGTTATGTTAACCATTAATCAAATATCGAGAACCGAGCAGAACAAGGTAAAAGATAGACGTGGCGTAAGAAGAAATTAGGGCAGGCACATATTGTCAATAAAGCAAACACAATCATGACTCAGGGTCTCAAAGATGGAATATCATTTCTAAGAGAACGTTACAAGAATTAGACGTTGCTTGGGTTGACGTCTTGCCTGGTAAAAGTAGTGGATAAATATGGAAATTTATCCGGACGCGGACCTTAGTTCCCACCTTCTGTTCAAATGAATAAAGATAGGAGTATTGGAGCGTTTGAATCAGTTAGATGATATATTATGATATGTGATTTCAATTCTTTTACCATTGTGTCCCAGCTCAGAGAAGACAAGATTTGTAATGCATTGTTTGTAGGATTTGTCGGGGTCCTTTTCGCTACCTTACTTGACCCTTGAAGTAACCAAACCCTAACCCTAGATACTTCGAACTCTAGTCATCGCATTTGGATGACCAGAGTTAGATTCCGATGCTCATGTTGTTGAGAAGCATTTTCTCTTGGCACCCACACACAATCTATCTAGCCGCCAATCCTCTTCGAGTGCGTGACACGTGTCTCGAGTCCATCTGGTGGTATCTCTGTCGTGACGAGCGCCGATCTCGACACGAGGTAAGTTGTGAGTGATGAACTCAGCATGATCTTTCCCGAGCAGGACCTGGGATTCGGAAATGGAACGGACGGACTTTGCGATGGTGAATCTAATGGATGCCTGTACGGCAATGAAGTAAAAAAAGAGCTCATAATTGACTGTATCGAGTCAAAAGTAAAATTTTTGACGACATTTGGAACTTGGAATTGAAGAAATGGAACTGATCAAAGCATACAAGTTTACAAAAATCATTGAACTAACATCAAAACACATAAACAATTACTATATTTACATCATAGAGCTTCCAGACCTTTATGTGAACTGATTCACACTGTTCTGTTCTGTTCTGTTCTGTTTTGGGTGTGCTAGTGACAAAACTGTGAAGTTGGCACTTGTGTGAGAAGGGCTGTTTAGAGATTAGTCTGCTCTTCGGAATTAAGTGAGTTTAGAAAGCTAAACTCCTCAGCAGGGTTTTGTTTGATGACTAGAGGACGCGAAACGTACATTAGTGAGAGTTCTCTCGTCAATGGGAAAAAGTTCAAAATTTTTCGGTTGCTTCATGGAGTATGAGAGTGGCTGTAAAGAGGTGAATATTGACGAAAAATTTCTGTGACTTCAATTGCCTTCATCGGTACAGTTTTACAACAATTTTTTTTTTTTTTTGGGGGTGACCTGCTTTACTCTGTGTGGGCACCTGTTTCTCTCCCATATCTGCCCTGTTGATTCTTTGGTCACTCCACACTGAACACATGTGGACGAAATAAAATAGCTTCCAGCCCCTACCTTAAGCAGCACCAAACCATCTCCAGTACAAATAAGGAAAGGAGATTTTGTTAACAAGTCACCAATGGTTCTTCTGAGCAGGAAATACAGATAAAGCATGCTTTGAAAGCAGTCATATACTCAAAGTATGACTTGACTTCTTACGTTTACCAACACAGTTATCGAAATTTGGAATTTAAGAGCTATGGCGTGCGTGAGTTTAGGGTGACAGACATACCTTGAGCCCACTCTAGGTGTACTCTACTGACCCTGATCCCGGTGCTGAATATTTGGCACGTGTTTCATGACTCGGGGAACCTTTTGACCGAGAGACGCAAAGACTGGCTTTTGACATACAATCCGCCGCAGTGGATCAGAATGTAAGCGCACTGCGGAGTGCACCTCATCAGGAAGAACGATAAGGCGGGACAACAAGCTCATGACCGCAGAGAATATGGTTCTCATGCAACGAGAATTATAAAACAACTTCTGCAACGTAGTCCTTAGATTCTTAAGTCACTCTGGGGGTTTTTAAACGTTATTATGTGATAATCTCGCTTGCTGACATAAGAAATGTATACTAGAGCATGATGTAGATGTCCATTTCATAAATTCAGCAATATCACATTTTACACACGCAAATTTCATTTCCCTTGGCCTTAATAAAATCTTACCTAAAAAGATCCCATACTTTATTTCTATTTTGTTGTAATTCATGTGAAGGTGAATTACGAACAATAGGATACTATCCATAGGTGCCAACCTATGGTACCATCTTTAGACTAAATGTGTAAAATGGAAATAAGGCATATGGAGTACCTGAGAAAGCATAACTAGGTCATATTGGCAATCATGATATCACTCACTTCTAGTACATATGGTAACTTTTGAAGACACGTATTATAAACCAATGCATGAGCATGGTGAGACCTAAAGAATATTCCGTCAGAATTATGTTAATGGACATACACATCCAAGCTAACTTCATATATGTTACATGACGAACAATTAAATCTTGAAGATATTTGAACACCTATTTTTTTCTGAATTTCTATGAAGTGAAAAATGCACAATGTGGTGATGGAATCTTTGCAAATTTTATTATATGTTTTTAATTCAATAATTTTTATGGGTAAAAATAATAATAGTTAGTTGAATAGCAGAATCTACATAAAAATTTTCTTATATAACCTATTATATTTATAATATTATAATTTATTTTATCAAATTAAATATAATACACATATAGATATTATATATTTTTTGAAGATCAGTTGTCTTTATAATAAAATTCTCTGGAGTAGCATTACAAAGTTAACTTAGAAGGGAAAGATTTTAACTATATCTGAAAATTCATGGATGATAGTCAAGAATTATACAAGAATAAAGTATTATTAAGTATCAGGATAAAAAAATTTCAAATTGAATGTATCTGCTGGAATACATGAATAAATACGTATTAAAATAATAAGTGATTTGTAAATTTAATACTAAAATACCTTCAAACACATTGAGTGAATTAGTTGAGTTAAATTTTACACAACTTATATATATGAAGTTTGTAAGATATCAGAAATGAAGTTAGATAAAAATTAAGATTTAGGTAGGATTGGAGTGTACCATAGAATTCGTTAAATAAGAACGAATTCTTTAATTCTCTTCAACTGATGACATCATACAGGATGGATGAAAGAACATCCAAGATAAGCTCGCAGTAAGATCTCACCAAGTTTTTTTTTATTGCGATGGTGTGTAAAATCAAACCGAGGTCTCCCGCTACGCCCTCCACGAGCAGTTCACGACGAGACTTGAAAGTTGTACACGAAGACCGGTGTCTCTTCAACTTGGTTCTACACATGAAGAAAGCCCACAGCAGTGCTGACTCCACATGCTCTACCTAATATGCCGTTGGGAGAAGTTTGGACGGACGCCGATGGAGTCTTGAGTTCTGGAACGCGCGAAGAACGCTGCGCCGGACAAGGAGGTCGATTGACCGAGAATACTAGCAAGACTACGTGGCTTGGCGGCACCATGGTTCGCGGCTCTAGAAGACGAATCGCACACCGGATCTCGAAAAGTGTTGGCCCTGGTGGAGTTCGCATCCACGATTTCCGCACCATCAAATGCATACGAGGACTAGGACGATGTGCGACGAATCGACGGCGATGCTCATGAGGATATTGAGGCCACATTCCCCGAGGATCGGACACACAGCCGCGCCCTTATTGCAGGGCATGGAGATCTATCTGCCCTGCAAGACACCGGACGCACAACCAATGGTGACGTCCACGTTCGGAAGAATGGAACAGAAGAAGCCCACGCACAATCGAACGTTCTTTCCACAAAGTGTGCAAGTAAGTCAGAAGGAGCCCCCGGAACGATCCGTGTGGCAACGAGATCCTTGGGGGAGGTAGGGAGCCGACACCCGGCGGGCGACGAATCCGGCCCGGGATCGTTCGGCGCCGGTGAAGGCTCTATGCTTTGCCGGGGGTGGAACCATTCAAAGGGAGCCTGAATTGACCGGCCGCAGGCAGACATGCCTTGCACATGCAGGCGGAGGGGACAGAAGCAGACAAGCGCTCACGCACGCGCGGGGCGATTCTCCTCGGGCTTCTGGGTCGTTCTGGCGGGTGGGTTGGTCTCCTCGGACTCTCCTGCTGCTGCTGTCCGAGACTTTCCCGAGTCCGGCACCACATGGTCCCGCAGTCGCAGTTCGTCTCCGCCCTGCAGTCTTCTCTCGTTGACCACGGTAACGGGGCCTTACTCTCTCGCTCGCTCCGGCGGGCTGGGGGCTGCGGGCTGGGGGCTGGCCTCAATAAATAGCACGCAGCAAACGACGACCAACAGTGTCTGATCCTGCAGACCTCTCCTCGGCTTGTCAGAGAATCCCCGCAATCCCGTCCTTTCTTGGTGCTTCTTGAATCCCGGCGCCCTCCCTCTGCGAACAGTTCCGTCCGTAAGCTTTCGCTGTGAAGCTGTGCATTCGGCTCGCACTTTCTCGCATTCGGAGCAGCAGCGCGGCCTAGTATCAGTGCGAGAAAATCGTCGCGGACTCCTCCCGCAGTCCCTGCGCGCAGCAAGAAGGCACGTCGTTGTCCCTCGACGCGAGCGAGCGAGCGTAATGGCAATTGCAGGAGATTCCAGACATTGCAGCACCATCTTCTACAGCATGATTATCTTCTCAATCACGACGCTGATGTACTTGTGCACAAGTAAGTAAACTGCGCTCTCTCAGAATTTTTATCTCATGCTGCCCTTGGGTTGATTTCTTTCGTTTCCAGCCGGAGTCCAGCCGGAGCTTTCTCGCACCATGATTTCTTCGTTGTCCGGCCCAGCAGGCCATGCACAACGAACCGGTGCTTCCTTGGGTGCTGCTTGGAGGATGGTGCTTAATATGACGGAAAATTCTTTGACTTCTGTTTTATACGTGCTGGTGCTAACCCGTTATGGCCTCTGGAATTTGCGATCAGCAGAAGTGGAGTCGCACGTGCTGCTCGATGAGGTGCTCCCGTGGGCAGTACTGGCGCCTTTCGGCCAAAACAACATCGCCAGCGCTTTGAGTCAAGTGGCTTCCAACTTCCCGTACTTGCTTACAGTCATGGCCTGTGGATATTTTCCTCTGCGGTGGACACGCAACTACTTCGAAAACATGGACTACTTTGGATCCAACTTCCACTGAGCGACGTCTTCGGAAAAAAATGCACGACTGCAGTCACACATAGCAGTGGCCGCAGTTTCGTCTCGACATCAGTTGCGCCGAAAGAGTTATGTACATAAACCTCATTTTTGTCTAGAGAGGGGGACGAATATGAACTCCTCTCCTGTTCTGTAAATTGCACACTTTTTTCATCTCGTTGATCCCAACAGGATGATGTGAGATGGCGTCTTATCTGAAGACTTCCTTCGAAGGAGCTCAAGCAGCATCCTCTCATTTATGTAATGGATATGCGGACCAATTAGCGCGCGTATCGCCAATTGATAGCGCAGCACTCCGTCATACCAAATGGAATAATATCTTCTTCAGTAGAATTTAGATTCTATTCGAACAGGATACAGCGGCCACACCGCTTAGTGTAGAGGATATAAATTACGTCCTTCGGTACTTGTAGGTGCAAGGACCACTATCGTTGTATAATAAAATCATGGCAACTACCTTGTTGTGGATAATGATGTTCTATTACCGCCAGCTGTGTTGAAACTTGTATCTACGTGAAGCAACTCAGAGTGTCGTGTGCAGGACTACAATCTGTCATTCTATTTGGGACGACATCTCACATTCATTAAAATTCAGATTCCATTTAAAAAGGTTAAACCAGCAACTTCTATTCATGAAGAGGTTATACAGCACAATAAGGTGCGGGTTTGCAGCTACAAGGACCATAAAGTATGATTACAAGTTTACCAGGCTTCCCTCATTCATATGCACAACCATGGCAGCTATTCGGGCGTGGACGACATGTTCTATTGGCCAGTTGTGTTGCAATTCATATGTACGTGTAGCAAAAATAAGTGTTGATACAACTACGGGCTACACTCTGCCTATTCTTCTCGGACATGTAGAAACACTACACTCTGCCTACTCTTCTCGAACATGTAGAAACATACTTCCCTTGTTGCCTCGGCTGATTTTGAGCTTCTGGTCCAAATAACTGCATCAGAAATCCGGAGCAGTGGATCCTTATACTGTCAGAGGCACATTCTGGAAGAGGCTTTCCAAAAAATTTCGAGAGAAAACAGGATGCTAGCTGACAGAAAGGGCAGAGTAGATCTACATTGGAAAATTCTAATTTGACGGCACCGATAGAAAAGATTTTGAGTCTATAATGCCGCGCCAATAACCGACGGTGTAGTGAAGTGTGTGAAATGAAAAAGTGAAGTTGTACTGCTCAGCGAAGTCTGGCTTCACCAATGCAGCCATGAAGAAGGTTCCATACGAGGTAAAGTGAACGGAAGGAGTTGAGAGGACGTAAGGAAGAAGTAACATACAGTATGTCTACGTAGCCTTCTCCGGTGATATTGACAGGTATACGCAGAGATCCCAACTCCAAAGATGCACCTTCGATCTTCACATCTTGTCTTTCCTCTGAAGCGGCCCTGTAAGCATCGACCATTATGGATATTAAAATTACCCTACAATTAAAAACTGGCCGGGCACTGTCAGACAGGTAAACTTCACACAGACCCAGAGTACACTGTTGTGATAAAATGGAGGAAAGAAAATACTAAGTGCTTGAGTACGAAGCCAGTGTAAGGAAATCTTACGATGAGTGCAGAGTCTACAGAGCTTGAAAGTAGCTCTACTAAAATTTTAGTAGATACGCCAAGTAGTGGAGATAAGCTTAGCTGATCCACGCAGCCACGAAGGTTCAAAATTTGCAGAAATGATAAAAGAACCGGGACAAAGAGTTTCGTGAGTACTTACAGGGTACTAGCTCCTGCTCGCAGTTTGAGGCCAGGTAGAAATTCGACCAGGTTTTCTAGTCTTGTATTGTCGTAATATATCTGTAACCGCAATTAATTCGCTTCACAATCAAAATCTTATCATGTTTTCTACCTCTAGCTATTAGCATAGAGGAGGTAGAAAATTAACCTTACGGTCTTAACACAACCATTACTACCTCTGGCTCTGTCCATTCGCGGTCAAGCCATTGTAATCTTCAGGAAAACTGAAATAATCTGTCAAAGACGTTCTTGAAAACACACCTGCCAGTTTTTGAGTTTCACAGAAGATTTCTGTATCCAGTTGGCATTTTCTGCCTGTTACAGCATCCATAACGTGTTAGGACCTGAATGAATGTTTGTGATCATTTCACAAATTAAACCTGCATTTATGACTTTGCTTCGGTGAGAAAGCATACCTGAGAATTCCACAATAACCGCCACTGTCCTTTCAAACCACCTATGTCTGTGCAGTCTTTTGTTGGATTAAGAGACACGAGTACTTCTATTGCCTGTCAACAACAAGAGACCGAGACCAGTCGCACTGTCACACCTGAATTCAATTCTTGCCAAGGAATATAGACCTCAGCGACTGATATCCAAGATACTTGGAAGCACAAATGCAGCAAACGAGTAAAGATACTGTAGCCTGAGGCACGAATCTGTCGCTTGTTTTGAAGAGTATGGGAGCTCATTTAGATGAAGAATCCACGAAATGCCCGAACCTTTTCAACATTCGTCCCTGTTGCAACGGCCTGAAGAAGTTGCTGACGAGGATCCAGGTTTTTCTGCAGAATGAATGTGGAACCCTGCACTCCTTATGCACAAATAAAATGCTGAAGGTTATCTGGAAGCTGATCGTCGAAAGTTTTGTACAAGAAAACGCTTATGAAGGCCTCAGAAGTTGAATGCTAACGAATGAGGTACAGACCCTTGGCCTTGGAAGGGGTGCAGGGCATGGACGAAGTAAGAAGTTACATACTTTATTGCCTCTTGAGATCCTTATCGTCCCTGATGGTGATAGGTAAGTAGTATCTAGCCATCCTTTGGCCTCATCTCCAAGAAGCTTGAAAGGTACGGGGTAGGGCACCTTAAAAGGCAGAAACTTGAAATCGAAAGCAGCTTTGTCGAAACGAAAAAGAATTCGCTTGTTACTTTCCCTGGTTGCAGCTGCCTGCTCAACCCCAGAGAAAAATTGAACATAAGTGCTCACACATAAGTGTTCGACTACTCAATTGAGATCTGTTACACTATGACTCACTGAAGCCGTACTAAAATACTTGGCGCCAACACATCTCAGCTGAAAATTTCTCACCTCAACTTTCAATTCTCCAATCGACTCCGAGGCCCGGACTATATTGCTCACTCGAGGATCGGTGGTGCCAGTCAACTCGATCTCCTGGAAGACGGTGAATGCATCCACCCCAACAAACGTTCGCTGCAGACACAGGCATGTCCAACTCGACTGTTGAGCGGAATATTTATGTGTAAACATATTCTTGAAGCATAGCTTAATCTGAAAGTTTTGGAAGAGATATGTAGGCAAAGTTCTATCACTTATGCACACCTGAATAGGTGATGCGGTTCCGGGCCTTGTGGTGAACATCAGCTGCCAGCGCCCTTCAATAAGTGGTGACAATGTCTGGTCCAAAAATTCCAACCTCAGTCATTTCAGACCATGAGATACTCATGGAGAAAGATACGTTTCGGAGACAACGAAACCTCTTAAAAACGACATGCCGGGAACGACGGGGCTTTACGATAAGAAAATTAAAACGATAATAAAAAATGGAATCTCTTTCATAAAATTGGATCAAGTAACCGTCTATTCCGGCCCATGATCTGTGGTCGTCCCTATAAACTTTCAATTCTATACATTTCTTCACTGTAATGCAAATTTGACACAAGCAATCGGAATGTTATAAGTCCTCACTGGATCTTGTACACCCCCCGCTTCTTCCAAAGCATCAATCGCTCGCTGAACTGCCTGCACACAGCGTCGACATGAATGTGATTCTAAAGCGGCCTCCTCGGGCAGTGCAATTTTATCTATCCCATAGATTACGATGAATTCTCCAACTCTATTATGAGTAATTACTCCTTAGAACGAATGCTGCTCACCACTTTCATACAGCTTTCTCAAGTTCACCCATCTGTAAAATTAAAACCATAAAGACACTGCATCAACTTGCCAGAAGCTATTTCCTGACAACGTTAAGCTTACTGCTTCCCACGTCGTATACTCAATGCTTCGACAGACCGGATGATGGCTCGTTCTTGATGAAGGACTATCAATTGAATCGGAATTTTGAGAAAGGACAGATTGCTTGAAATTAACGATAAAGCCTTTTTATAAGAATGGAACTGAACATACTTCCAGCTGTTGAGGGGCAGCAACGCGACCACGGCCTTGAATCCCCAACAAGGCTTCAATTAAAGCCAATTCTTCTCTGCTCTGCGCTGTGTCCGGTACTGCAGAGCTCACCGACGAAGCACATTTTACAACCACGTGCGTAGCAGTAGACGCTAATCTGCGTTCGGTCACGTTCTTCACTGCATGGTAGCTTTTATATCTGGTACAGTATCCATGACACAAAGCTTTCCTTTGTGCAAGGGCAGCCTTGACAACACAATTACCACTCTCCCGTCTTCCACATGTGCCGAGTGATGAAGGTCCCAGAGCCTGCACTGTCATGACCATCATTCCAAACCAGGTCCTGAGCCCTACCAGTTTTGATTGTTTCAGTGGCAATCTTCCAGTCGATGGTAGATCGACCGACTTCCTTTCCCGTGTAGTCGGCCGTCATTCAATTCGTACGAAATGCCAACATGCTCTTGCATCGGTACAGGACTTAATGTGAGGCTACGATTGGGCTACCGAGCTACTGCGTTTGAGGCTGGAAATGATCCGTCGTCATCCACTTGTTGCTCTCTAAGGACCCTGCGGGTCCCATCGAACGCGTATGTACTTCCGTGTGCGTTTCCAACCGCGAGCACAGGTACCTCGATCGCTCGATGGATTCATACGGAAGTCCCTTGCCACTGATGAACCCCGTTCTGCTTTTGATCTTTCTCGTGGTGATTCATCAAGTCCATCACATTTTCCAAGCCATTAGGTGGGCACACAGCCTGTCTCAATCTCTGAACATGGATTTACGACTGTCATTAACGACACGTTTTCTACTTGGAACTGTACTTTAGTTCCAACATTCATTCCAAAACGCGTTCCAAGGTACTCCTCTGAACTGTGGTGCGTAGCGTTATCAACGGGCGGATTGTCCGTACACAGTCCGGTAAGAGACTTAAGAAAAGAGCCTATTGCCTTACAATGTTACAAAGGAAAAAAGTGATGCGGAGCACCCAATACATCTGCAGGTCAGGTGGCCGACGGGCACGTTTCTCCGGATAACTAAACTCGACGCAGCAGATAGAAAGGCTTCCTGGTATATAATTCCCCTTTGTTGCCCTAGCTATTCTGCCGCCACAGTGATCTCGATCGTGTAACCACCGACAATTTACAAACTTCAGAACCGATGCGTAGACAATATGAGTAAATCGGTTAAAGTAAGAGAGGACTCCTGTGAGAAAACTGAACTATAAAGTGGATGCCACCTCCGTAGTCCTGTATTCCGTCGTAAAAAGAGTTATAATTGACATGACAGGGAGAAAAGATTCGTGCTTTCACACTTGCGTTGGGCAACATCCATTGCCGGCACAAATCCAACCCATAGAGATGCACTTTTGAACAAGTGCAAGAATATTCTTCATTCACTTTTAGACAACAGGAGTAAACTTCTTGAAATCCAAATTTCTCGCAAGGTTCCCTTCGGGGTCTGACGGAAATCTACAAATCTTACGGGATTGTCGACCTGCTTGATGAGGTCCACAGACCGTAGAAAAATAGGTATTTTCTCTCAGCACTCATGACTCGATTCCGTGTTCTTTTGTAAGAATCAAGCAGACACCATGAACCTTGAAATTCGTGTGATCCGTCGTGTGCATGAGCACGCACCATCTTCTACTCTGACAACTCTGGGTCATGCGATGATCTGGAAAGTCGATTTAAACAAGGGGTACAGCCCTTTCGCGCCATGCATATTTTAATCTGCAAACTTCTATGACTTCCAAATAAACTGTCATTCAGAGAATAGAGGAACCTCTAGCTACTTCTTAGCTGCCTGTGGTTTCTCAGGGCTATCTTCGAAATCCACAGCATTCAAAGGAAACACGTCTGCCGGCAGTGTAACTGGATTCTTCAAAACAACGTAAGCCTTCTTGTAGTCAGGCCTTCTGTAGTATTTTCCCGTCTTCCTATTGAGCTTCTTCTTCCCCTCCATGTTGAGGGTATTAACTTTCTCTACCTCCAGTCCATAGACTGACTCCAAAACTCTCCTAATTTCAATCTGCATCATACAAACAGCAACAATCAAGCCACAACGTTCAAACAGTCGTCCTGAAGTAGCCCAGCAGACTTTCTTCTTCTACCTGGTCCAACTGTCAAAATCATCCACGTTCACGGAATTGAAGTACCTGTCATAGCTCCGAATCCCTAAGCTAAAGCGGATACTCTCAAAGTGGACACATGAGGAAGACAAATTCGCCAAACCGCTGCATCCTCTAGAACGTGACAATCGAAGTCTAAGAATCCATCGCTGGAGTACCAAAAAAAACACAAGAGCAGATGCCGAGATTGGGACTCGGAAAAAAACACTGGAACACTGTCCATCCACAAGCCCTCAGCACCGCGCAAAATTCGTCCCACGATTCTTGCCAAATTACGAGTCTACGCCTCGAACATGCAAGAAAAAAACCAAATGGTGCTCATGCCGCCGAAGAAGAAGGCGAAGACAGCTTCTCATACCTTAGAAGCGCTGGGAACGGTCTTGAACGCGACCTCCTTGATATTCTCCCGCTGATTCGGCATCAGCAGTTTCAAAGGGAGATTGGCAAAATGTATTACCCGACCCAACTTCTTCGCGACGGAAGCCATGAGATGCCACAGCCCCGCGGCCCTCCCGAGCCCTCCTCACACTCGAATTTCCACCCGGTGGATGGATCTCCGCTCCACGCTCCCGCTGCTGCTCTCTCTTCGGCCGATCGTCGATGGCGGGCGAGAACCCTCAGGACATACAACGACGTACACTCCATGTACGTGCGATGCTACGGTAGCGTTCTAATACAGAACCCGGGCCCTGGGCTTTCCGCTCTTTTGAAGAACAACACCGCGCTGACGGTTCTTGTAAAGCTCGTGTAGAGCGAGGAGGGGGAGGGTTTTAGCGAGCGGTGGATGCCAGGGACAGCATGAAGAGAGAATAGAGCAGAGCAGAGCGCAAAGCAGACGCATATGGCAGTTGTACTCTCCAGACCTTTCCAGCAGAGAACATATTGATCCTAGGCAGTTTTTTTTTAACTAGCTGCTTGCAGTGGCACGACCTTTTCGGCTTTTTTGCGAGTTTTTTACAGTCCAGCGGATACGGGCGAGCGAGAGTGCGAGAGAGGAGGAAGCCTGGTGGATTGAAATTGAAATTGAGCATGATGGAGGATGCCATTTGTTGCTGGGAATTTCAGCGTGCTTCAGATGGTTCACAAAGGCAAAAGCTCGAGGAGTTGTAGCTGTAAAGGAAGAGGGAAGGCAGAACGGTCGATTCTTCGAGGTGGAGCAGGAGGAGCAGGAACAGGAGCAGGAGGAGGAGGCAGGAAGGGAGGCATGGATTATCAGAAGGACTTTTGGGAAGAGTTTGATATCATCGCCACCGCTTCGTTCATAGTTCGCAATGGATTCCAGCGCGTCGCGCTTCAGGTAGAAAATATAGCCTTCTGGCGCCTTTTAATTCACGCCTGATGAGTCTTCACAGAGCATTCCTCCCCATCTGCAATCCCGGAATAATCAGCTGTGGAACTGTTTTTCAAGGATTAGTTGGGGAGGCTCGCATCCCTTGATTTCACTATACTTTGTGCTCATTATTTTTTGGCTCGAAGAGCTCTTGCTCAAAAGTGTTTCTAATGGAGGCCAGCAGTAGGATCCACGGAGGCCATTGGCAGAAGATCGTGACTAATAATTCACAAGAGGGTTCTGCATTGTATCTGGATCTGCTTCTTCCTTCTCTTTCCAAAGTGCAAGTTTCAAAGAGAACTTAATTTGCAACATTGGAGTCTCATACCAAATCCTGCTATAAATGTGACATTTTGAATCGCGTTGTAAGCCCAAACAGAAAACGTGGAATCATGTATGAAGTGCCCCCATACGCAATGTATGGGGGCACAGGTCCTCTAATCTTCTCGGTGTGCCCAACGTGCTTTTATATGCATGGACGCTAGCAGAAAATTAGAGTTCTCCCTGAATCTAACCTGGCTACTGCTTGGTTTTTTTGCAGTTTCCAGACGAGCTCCTCAAACACAGTGTGGCGGTGGCTGTCGCCCTGAAGAAAGAGCTTGGCAAGCAGCGTAACTCAAGATTTTCGGAAGAACCAGAAAATGCCGCCGTTAGGCTCTTCGTGATGGCAGATACCACGTTCGGGAGCTGTTGTGCTGACGAAGTTGCTGCCATGCATGCCGATGCTCAGTGTATCGTACACTACGGCAACGCTTGCCTGAGTCTGTGAGACTTTTTCTCTTCCGAATTTCGTCCAGGTCTTTGGATGTACCGCACAGCCAAATCTTGCTATTGTTCTGAACGGGATGAGCTCTAGTATGCATGATTATCGAACCCGTCAAAGCACACTAACATATGTCTTTTGACCATTGATGTTGGCAGGACATCCAGGCTTCCTGTGTGGTTCGTCTTTGGGAGGGCAGCCTTGGATGTAGAGGACTGCACGAGCCAAATTGTGGACTATGCATCCGCTGTCTCGAAGCCTTTACTGGTACGTCTGTCGGTTTATGTGCAATGTGACATGACTGGCTGCCTTTTTGCAGGCTGACTGTGGTCGTGAGGATCGATATATTTGCTGTGTATCTTTGTGCTTCCTTTCAGTTTAACCCCATTCAGAAATTCCTTCATTTATGACTTGTTTCATTGTCGTAACAATCCAGGTCATGTTTGGGCTTGAATACTCGCACGAAGTTACCAGCATCAAACAGCGCCTGAGCACTATTCAAGAGAGACAGTTGAATGTGACTTTTGCAGATGTTCCTTCCCAGCACATGAAGCCTTCTTCGAGCATCGAGAAACGCAAGAAAGGGGGCCGACGTGCAGAAGACGAGGATAAGTCTGATGAAATAGGGATGGTTGATGACCAGAGTGTGGATAAGAAGTCGAGTACTTGCAGCGCTGTTGATAGCAACTTGAGAGAGACTTCTCTTTGTACAGAAGCTGAGCTTTTAGCTTCTGGAGGCCAAGGAATCAATAGTGAGCGCACTACGTCTGATTTTGAGGCTTCACATTACTCCTTAGGAGGACTCAAGTGGACTTTGCCCAAAGACACGACTATGGGCGACTACGACATACTCTGGATTGGGGGTGACTGTCCAGGACTAACAAATGCTGCCCTGGTGTTTAATACCTCTCCTGTAGGTGTTCTATTCGGCAAAAGTCACACCTAGATTTAAATCAGTATCAAAGTTTCTTGAGTTTATACAATATGAGAGTGAGAACGTTGAATTCATCACACTGAAAAGCATTCAGCGTAACTTGAACTGCCTCGGTGTACTGAAATAGAGAATCTTACACTTTCCGTTTCGTGCAGGTTGTCAGATACGATTGTTTCGAGCAGAAACTGGTGAGAGATGTGGCAAATCAGTCCAGAGTCCTGAAGCGAAGGTTCGTCATTCTGAATGGTTGAACATTCGACATTTGGTATAATTGTTGGAAGGACAAGCTGATCAGCACTTACTGACTTTCTTTCATCTATTCGGGTGCATACTTTCCACGGTTCGAAGGAAACGCTTTTATAAAAGATTGTCAATTCTCAGTCACAAGCAGAGTGAAGCATATGTTTTTTCTAACTGTTTATTCTGACAGGTTAAGGGACCATAGAGAACTCGTTGAGAATAGTTTGGAATCAGGACCTGAGTAACATTATATCCTTTTGTTCATCCTATCTCTCGACTTCAGTTCGCGGGATTGCGCGAACTGTGTGTATAACAGGATCCACCTATTTTGCATTTGCAATGCATTTTTGACATCTTTGATGGCATGCTCGTTTGTTTATTGTCAGCACAGATATTATCTCGTAGAGCGGGCAAAGGATGCGAATGTCGTGGGCATAGTTGTTGGTACCCTCGGCGTTGGTAAGTTTTCCACTTCCGCTCACTCTGTTGATCCAAGTTTTTGTTGCGCCTGCAGAATATCATGAACAACTCTCACATTTGATATATCTGTTGCCTTGGTGGCTATCTGGATGGGATTTTTGTGCTCCCTTGGCCTTTACCCTCAGTCACTTTCAAACTGTATCGAATTGGACAAAATGTGCAGCTGGATATGCAGACGCTATTCAAAATATGAGAAGAATCATAGAATCTTCTGGGAAGAAAGCCTACACGTTGGTGATGGGTAAACCCAACCCGGCCAAGCTAGCTAATTTCCCTGAGGTTTCTTACACGTCTTGAACTTCTCCATTTGCAGCAATTGTCATAGCATAAGTGCTTGTTTCTTTTGCGGTGAAAGAGATCAGGAAGTGTTATGGGAGCTTCGCGATCTAATCGTAAGCTTTACCTCGGTGACCTTGCCTATTTAAGTAGGATGAAAGATTGGGTCCTATCAAATCCGATGCTGTTATCCGCTTAACTCCTCCCTTACTATTTGTTACTGCAGTGTGACGTGTTCGTGTTAGTGGCATGCCCACAAACAGCGCTGATTGATAGTAAAGATTATCTCGCGCCACTCTTAACACCCTTCGAAGCCGAACTAGCATTCGTCGAGTGAGTTACTAAACGATTTTGATTTGATAATTCTCTACTCGAGAGAGAGATGAATGATACTAATTCGTGTGCTTCCTTTACTTGGTTTCTCAGCCCTTTGGCAGTTTTTTGAATTATTTAATTTGATTGTTGTGAACAGAGGTAAGCAGTGGACAGGGGCATACCGCCTAGACTTTGACCACGACCCGGGATATCAAGGTACTTCAGATAATGCTCCTCAACCAAGGAGTGATGAAGCTCGATATTCCTTTTTCGCGGGTGGCTATGTCGGCCGGGGCTCTTCCGAGACTAAAGGTACAGGCTACTGCTTTTTTCTGTATTCTTGAGTCTCGAGTGGATGATAACCAAGCTTGATGGCCCAGCATGCCTTATGGAAGCAACTCATTTCTCTCTAAGCTGTAATGGTCTTATAGGTTGCTTTCGATAAAATGCCCTGATTAGCCCCGTTGATATGTTACTTGCGATTTCCTCTCCGGAGGAGAAGACAAGTAGATCTGATATGATACTTCTCCTGTCGGCTGTGAAGATGTGGAAGATGCCACCTCCCGAGCAATTGTCCTCTCGAAGTCTGCTGAGCATGCCCTCCAATTGCAGTCGAATCCTTCTTCATCATTAATCACCACAGAAAGATCAAGGCTGGACATCAAGTCTGGTGCCGAGTACTTGGCTTCGAGGTCCTACCAGGGTCTAGATGTCAACGATGGAGGTGATCAAGCTTTGAACAAAGATTTGTCAGCAGTGCCAGGCCGGAAAGGTCGTGCTGCTTGCTACTCAGATGAAGCCACAAACTGATCAGAGATAGAGCTAGCTTCACTTCTCTGGCCTGTCAACAGAAGCATAAGATTCCTCAAAATATACGCAAAGCTAGATCACCTAGCAACCATTTGTACGCTTTGTATCACTCAGAAAAACATTTTGCAAGAAACCGAATCTCATTTTAGCCTCCCTCCAGCAAGAGCTTATTTTCTTTGCAGTTGTGGAAAATCTTGTCCAACTCAATGCTCTTCAGATTCAGAAGATGGGAACCTGCATGTGACAGTTGATATGAAAAAGTAGAAACTCACTTGGCTTGAAATTGGAATATCGTCTGGCAACTATCGTATCAACATGAAACTGGTTGGTGGCAGAGTCTGGTTAAATCCTAATAAGTAATGGCGTGAAGTGGAAGGTGGTGTAAGCGTAATGTTCCGAAGAAACCCCATGCACGTTCACACCGGTCGGTGGACCCGAGACCTGTAAGTTCGAATGTTTGCCCACAAAAATTACACGTGGTCGTGCAGGTCCGCAGTACAGCACACAAGAGCAAACATTTTCTTGATCCGATCGTTACAGCGTCACGTTATCTAAATCTTCCCCTCAATTCCATGGTTTTCATTTATCACAACGTAGTACTTACAGGCCCTGCAACCCGACCTGCAAAGGTGGGGTTTGTCTGGTCATGATTTTGTGTATTTTGTGACGAAATGCCGGGTCCTTTCGACGTGATCTGATTTATTTTCAACTCAGCGTCGATGGGAAGCCGGACGCTTCTAGAGTATTTGGAAGCCTCGGTGTCTACTTCCCAATGCTCTTCCACTTTGTGCTCTCCACATGTCAGAGCTCCGTCTGCACACGCAATCTTTGAAACAGCACCAAAGGAGGGAGGAGTGCGGAACTACTTACTGAGTGCAGGTTTCGGCTGAGCACGTTGAGCACAAGTCTGCTGCAGATCGATTTGCTACAAAGCAACATATATTTTCCCCTTTCCATCGTGAGTAAGGAGATTGTTGTCTCCTACCAAGCCAATTGATATACCTCATGATAGACCGGTCTACGTAGCTTTATCTTCCTGTGGTGTGCAAGGAGAATTGTTGGCCTTGGAATGAAGCAGAAACACCAATGGTACTCTTGACAATTGCATGGCATCAACTCTCAATCCTTAACTAATTTCCTGAAAATATGGTTCCTAAATGCCGATTTGTCGATTTTATTCTCTTGCAAACCCTTCCGTTTTACATTTAGTAGTAATTAAATACAAACTCCAACTTCTACAAGCTTGGAAGGTCTTCTCAGACCTTCATCTTTCCTATTTGCAGTCTCATTTCCTCTCATGTGAGACACATTTTGTATGACTCGCTTGTCTTTGACATGACTGTATTGTCTGGACAAAGTTCCAGACAATCGTTTTGTGGCCACATAAACAATTTATTCAAACAAGACTAGGCCACCAAATATTGCTCGTTCATTGAACGTATCCAAATAACTCAACATATTCTCCAGAAGACTGAATTGGAGTAATCTATTCTAACAAGCTTAAACCCCAACGTCTGTCATGATCGTATGACATGTCTTTTAGATGAAACCGTAAATCTTCCCTGTAGAATTAATATATCACATGATAATTACTTGTCAGGTGAAAAGTCGAACGCAATCACACATCTTCAACACGAGAACTCACCGTCGCAGCCGACACCGTACATACTTGGTTCACGTTTGTCCGGTGAACCTAGCCTGATGTGGTGAACCTCGTTCTCCTAATACCTCAGTCTTTATTGAAAGAACCTTAAAAAGTGTCACCGATAGGTTACGCCAGATCTCTTTTATATTCACAGTTCAACCAGTTTCATTAATTGTGATTAATACTTTACTTAAACAAAAAATTATGTTTTTCTTGAAGAAATAGTATAAAATATAGATACTGTGTAGAGATATAAGTAAAATATTTTAGCATTAAGTTTATTGTAGTAAAATTTTTTTAATGTATCGAAGATTAGATTTTAATTTTAGTTTCAAGAAATTGAAATTTTATTATAAAATAATTAAAATATTATATAATATGATAAAAAATAACTATTTAAATTTTGATCTGTGGCTTGGTTTACTTGACTCTTATTATGTGCATTAAATGAATCATGAAGATTATCTACAACACTTTGAGTAAAAACCTCTTGTTAACCAACAACTATAATTTCACTAAAAAATGTACATATTCTTGTTCATGTTGAATGCTTATATAACTTTACATTTATTTATCATCAGAAATTTTTTATGAATAAAATTTATATAAGCTATAAATACTCATGTAGAAAAATTATGAAATCTCATCCATTGACAGTGAAATCGGACCCATATGGAAATTAGTAACAATGGGTTCTCTTAATCTTACATTTCCGTGACATGGTCTTGGGTCACATGCATTTGGACAAGAATGCTCTTAAGTTATATGTGCAACCACTTTTAATTTTGTTATGGATCCAACCACGACCCACCGAAAAAAATAAATTTGTCCAAAGCCCTATCGTACGAGACGATAGGAGTGTTCAGGAAGACTTGCTTGAAACTTGTGCATGTGTCAAGTATGGATGTTGTTATATTTTGTCTGTCCTCTTCACATTCATTCATCTATATCATTCATATTAAGTAACATCGTTCGTTAGTTCACAAAATATTCTAAATTAATTAGAACATAGCGTTTAGAGTACGTTATGAGTGAACACAATCTACACACTAAAAAGTGTTCAAAAATTAAGAATTAATTGCCCAAAATTGACGATGTTTGAAAAATCAACATTTCCCAATTGTTCCAAACATAAAACATTTAATTAACATATACAGGAAAAGACACTCGATTAAGTTCGATAAGTGAACTCAATGACATGCAATCTTCAGGTACTGGAGTAACACAGAATGAATCAGCGTAGAAACAAAAGCTTGTATATTGAAATTTGTTGGAGCGATCAATTCGTCAGTTCCATCTATGCAGTATCTTAAGATGAACTGATACAAATCTCGCTTGCAATGTCTCCTTGGGCTTCAGTCCAAGGGGACATTGCAAATTAGGGAAAGTACGTTTAATGTGTATCATCGCCTAAAAAGCAACCTATTGCACCTTCAACCTTCTTCTTTCTCCACAACACATATTTCATACAGTTTTTTCGTTCATTACTTTGTGCATTCTATTTTTATCCTCTTATAAATTAACCCTCTACGGATCTATACAAATATACTGATTTCAGAAGCGAAATGAAGCTACGAATACAAAACCGAGGTCGAGAGTTCAAATAGGAATGTTCAGTAAGAATGTCTCATTTCTACAGTAGGCTTCAAGAGCCACTTGAATGAATTTGGTACAGGTTGACTCGAATATCAAAGCAACATTACTAAAAGACGTAAGGGTAAATCGAGGAATTCATAACCATAGACTGGTGATACAACGTGCAGAACGATTCCTTTTAATTGCTTGGGATGCCACACAGTCAATGAAATGGGCGATTACATTGATCTCCATGAAGGTGCGCTTGCCAGGCTACCTTCAGGACCTCGAGCATTGCCTATCTATGCTTATCACCGATACCCTGTATCTGAGCTCTAAGTTTATGACAATTCCTCCTCACGGTGACCTCCACAGACCAGGCGTCGCAAGGGGGAACGGACGGCTGAAGTTGGGTTGGGTCAGATACTCATGCTGTACAAGGCTCGGGCGTCGGTGCGACGTTGTCTGACTCTCAAATTTCAGCAGCATTAAAAGACGTACTTTCTTGATCTGTATTCCTGTACAAGCTTAGCGAACAGAGAATTTTCCCTCGCTAGAAGCATTTCCGGCGAGTCGTTTTCCACCATGTACCCTGCATACGAATGCAAGCAAACACGCGTACACAAAATCAGACTGTCAACTGCCAACGGTCTTTCGTATTCAGACGACGACTGGGACGCCTGCTCTGACTTTGATACTATGACCAGATCTTGGGACGATGAGGTCCCTCTTCGTGTCGCAAATTCAATCTTTCTGTTGCCACCGAGCGACAGTGAGATAGGGAAAGGAAGAATATGTGGTTGTTTACGTACCGTCATCCACCACGAGAACTCGGTCGGAAGTAATGACGGTCGGAATGCGATGCGCAACACTGATTATAGTACAGTCCGCAAAGTTCTGTTGAATGGTGGTTCGAATGATGGCATCGGTGCTAATGTCCACGGAAGCCGTTGCCTCGTCCAGGACAAGAATGCGTGCGTTCTTCAGCAGGACACGGCCTAAGCACAAGAGCTGCCGTTCTCCCGAACTCCAGTTCTCTCCTTGTTCGGACACTGCAAGACTCACACACTCGTCTTATGAGTTCCGATCGACTACGGTTGTGCTGAACTCAGTTTCAAAGTTGTATCTGAATCTGAAAGATTGAGATTAAGATTTACAATTATTACATTGCTATGACGTTCCGGCTGGAACGTATTGGGCTATGATGATACCTGATGCATTGAGTGTATCGGGCTTCGCTCGGACGGCCGTGGCAAGCGCGCATTTTTCCAAGGCCTGCTGATGAAAACCTTAGACTTTGTTTTTGTTCCAAAGCGAAATCTACTTATTGTCAGTCTCGTTCTGCCTCGACGATGGAGATGACCGACCGCTGACAAATTGCAAATGATGATCACCGAGACTAAGAAACTGATACAGCAGCGGTGGCTTTTCCTGTCAAGACATTCTTTCATTCATTCTCCGTGCACCAACGGACGGAAGGAAAACTGATACAGACCTCCCATAGCTGCTGGTCGGTGTACGAGTCGAAGGGATCTAAGTTGCTTCGAATGGTTCCTTCAAAAAGCATGGGCTCTTGAGGAATGACGCTCAATCGGGACCGCAGGTCATACAGTCCAATAGTTGTAGTGTCGACACCATCGATCACAATGCGTCCACCAGCCGGTTCGACTAGGCGGAACAACGCCTGGACTAGAGTTGATTTGCCACTTCCTGTGCGTCCGACCACGCCGACTTTCTCCCTGGCTCGAATCACGCACGAGACACCCTTAAGGACCAATGGCATATCTGGCCGATATCGAATCTGCACAGAGCCCACTGTTAGAATAAACAGCGCCATTGCTTCAGCGTCCAGACAATTGATTGACATTCCAATTGCGAATTGAACATTTCAATCACGTTTCCCTCATTAGAGACGACAGCGGCAGTCTGCATGTAATACTAGAAAAGGTCTGACAGGGTCTCTGATGTACACGGAGTAATGCAGTAATTGCAGTTGGATGCCGTCATTGATCCGAATCTCATTATCCACAGCATGCACTTCGAAAGCAATTACTGCATGCTTTGAAGCCTAGAGTCACTCATTTTCTCGCTCTCCTCTGACAGCGAGAAAATGACCGAGCAAGTCACACGTAACAAGGCTTGGTCTTGTATGTCTGCTTGGTCTTCCTGTCCCAAGCTTCGAGGTCAAAGCTCGGTCACTTACTTGAAGGTTTTGCAGCTCGATGTGGCCTGCATTTGGCCAGTTTCGTGGTGGTCGTCTGGCAGGAATAATGGCCGGGGCTTCACTCTTGATCTTTGAATACTGACTTATCCGCTCGAGAGCGACCATGTTGTTTTCAACACTGCTGTAAGCACTGACCACCCCTTGCAATATATTGCTGAAGCTGAGTCCGTAAGATATCGCAATTGCTGCCATCCCTGAACACAGAAGCAAAGCATCAAATCAGCTTGGCCAAGCTTCAACAAGATTCACCAAAATACGTGAAATTGATCTCAGTACTAGCAATTTTGTTGTGAGCTCTACTAAATTATCAAGTCATCGCCATGACTTACTCTCGGTAAATTCTATCAGATACTCTCCGAGTAGATGCTGAGGAATCACATACCTGGCGAAACAGATTCTTTGGGCAGGAAAATGATCGCCAAAGCCGTGCAACAGAGAACTAATGCACCGATAAATTGAAGGCGGAAACCAAGCCACGAAGTGGCAGTCAGGTTGTGAAAGTAGGCTAGCTGATAGTTACAGACGAGTTTTGAGTTTGTTCTCTTGAATCTACTCTGAACTTGAAATGCTCGGATGGAAACTGCTCCAGAAATTGTTTCATTCAGATGCAGAAAAACGGGTGCTTCATTGATGGCGCTTAACCTGGAAAGCTCTCTTGCAGATGCGATGTAGTAGACCTAGTTAAAGGTCGAGAAAGAAGAACAATGATCAGAAATCCCCTCGGTCGGACTGATGACCATGGGGTGCAGTGAAGGTGAGAAGATTATGATGACAGGTATCATGCAGGCCGACTATGTTATGAATACTTAACGGAAAAAGCATTTTACCTGGAACTTGACGAATACCCACACAAGAAGCAAAATTATCCCACCAATCTGTGGAGTTACGAAAATCGTGAGACCAAGCAAGATCACTGCAAGGATCGTGCTGTTGGTGGCTTGGGAGAGCCTCGCGGGAAGTTCGAAGTCGAGTACAGTCTGATCCGTCGAGGACTGCCAAAACCAAATTAACCATTCCCACCGTTGTCAATGGAATCACTCAACCATGGTTCGGGTTAGAACCAGCTTGGTCATCGCACAGAGGTCAGAAAAATCTGTGGTGGCGGAGTTCTGCTCACCCTGCTCAAAATCCGGCCTAGGGGAGTAGAGTCGATGAAGGACATAGGAGCTTTTATTATGCTGTCCAACATTTCGGTGAAGAAAGCTTGGGCAGTCCATACGCCGGTCTGCACTGTCAGACATGCGCGGAAGATGACGGCTGCTGCACAGGAAACCACAAGTAACACGTACATCTTAACCAAGGACAGGCTTGTACCCATGCCATGCGCGATGCCCCAAGCCAACCAAATGTCACTGGCCAGTTGACATACGGCGGACGCCGCCTGAAGCACGAGCACCAGCCAGAACACAGCTCCGTAGTAAATTTTCGTCACAAACATCCAAATCAACTCGCTACGGATGCGCCCTCGTGCCCTTTCCTCGTCCTGGATCAGTTTGCTGCCGTGAGTGCTGGTGGCCATCTCCTCGCGAGGGCTAGACTTGCTTTCTGGGTTTAAGACTTTCCCCGCGTCAGGTTCAGATTCATCTTGGGTTCCGCTGATGTCGGCATGCGTCACAGAAGCTAAGGAGTCTCGTAACGCCTCGACGAACGTGGAGAAATACTTCCCGTCTTCCACGAGCTCGTGGTACGATCCTCTCTGCACGATTTCGCCGTCTTTCATCACCTGAAAATTCCAGGCCATGCACGCACGGTCGTCAACATCAGCATCCTGTGCCAGAAACTTTCGCAGCGAGAACGTCAACATGGGGCTAAGGCTTCTGAGATTTCTCGGAAGCACATTTCCTTACGATAATCAAGTCGGTCGATGGTAGAAACTCGACTTGGTGCGTGACGATGATCACGGTTTTTCTTTTCAGCGCGCCTAGGATGCATTCCTGCGAGCCGGTACAGAGCACGGAAAGGCTTAGATAAGGTGGAGGCCGGGACAGACACCTATGGCCCATGCAATGAGCAACAGCTCCTGGTGGAGTGGGCCGATGCTGACATACGTATGTCAGCTTGCTTGCGAGGACACTTCAGACTACGAGAACGTGAACATTGGAACTTGGAGCTCATTCGTACGCGAAAGAGGAATGCGCCGGTGTGGGCATCCACTGCACTCAATGGATCATCCAGAAAATACAGGTCGGCGTCTTCATAGACAGCACGAGCCAGCTGAATTCTCTGCTTCTGGCCGCCACTCAAGTTGATCCCTTTCTCCCCGATCTCTGTGGCGTCGCCGTGCGGCAGCTGTGCGAGGTCTGGTTCCAGTCCCGACACCCGTAAGGCTTCCCCATAACGCTCCGAATCGAAATCCCGCCCGAAGACGATGTTCTCCCGGACGCTGCTGTTCTGGATCCACGCCGTTTGCGAGACGTACGCACATCGACCGAAGCGTCTTGCCTGCACGCACATCGAGCAACGTATCAAATGTACATTGCAAGTCCATCCACACACTTCAAAGCCTTGAATGAGAAATCCAGTGCCGCCTGTACGTCGCCCCCGTTATCAGTGTGGTTTATATGGAAGATCGTGGAATTTGAGTGATGGGCATTAATCTAGCAAGCCATCTCATTTCTACTTGCATTTCACGTTTCGACGCTCTCTACAACAACTGTATCATGTTTTTCCTGCGTCATATGCATTGATTAGGTTTCTCGTGATTATGTTCTGTATCAATTGTTTCTGAGAACTTGGAGAGTTTACCACAGTGATTTATAGGACAGACAGCCATTCTCTAGGACACAGTTTTTTGCTTCGAAAGCGGCAGGAGGCAACCGAAGCACCGAAGCAAAGCGTAAAATGAGAGCCCAAAAAATAGTACACGATAGCCAGCCACATGCACGGGAATACGAATAGCTACGACACAAACACAAACAAACAAAATGAAACCGAATGATGACAGGACAACGCAAACCAAAGCCGAAAGAACCCATGCCAGTAAGAAATTAGGCCAGAAAAAAAAAATGGAGACTGAAGATGAAATGAAAAGTGGTCGAAGGAAAAATTGCAGTTTCCATCCATCAGAATCCCGAGAGTTCCTGAATGAGGATCCGGCCCACGCTGCAGAAAACTCCAGCATGGGCACTCTATCTCCAAATGCCAGTGGGTGAGAGAGCTGGTCTCGGTGACAGCTCGGCCCCACTAACAAGGGCGATCCATGCTCTTCTTCCTGCATTCCAGGCGAGTTATCGTCCATATGCTCTCTCGACTCGACGAGAGTACTTGGTTCTTCACTCTCTGCGAGACCCTCAGGTCGATGAATAATAGCACGCACTGACTGCGGGGGATGCCTTACCACGCCAGCCGTTCGAGGTAGCTCGCCCAGCATGCTGTAGAGCAAAGTGGACTTCCCAGAGCCCACAGCGCCACAGACGGCTACGCAGTCGCCGGTTCTGATCGTGAGGCAGAGGTTGCTGATGGCCGGAGGACATGCGCGACGAGCGCCGGGGAGCGACTGCGAGTCGCGATGACCCCAGACGAACGACGCTCCGTCCATGGCCAGGGCCGCTGCGTGGTCGGCCGGGACGACGTCCACGGCGTCGTCGTCGATTTCGTCCTCGCACAGAAAGACGCGAATGCGCTGCAGCGAGACGACGGCCTGCAGGACGTTGGAGAAGACGTCCGGCATGAACCGAACGGGCTCCTGGAGGATACGGATGGTGGTGAGCGCCGTGAACACCTTGGCCGTGGTCAGCGGCTGCCCGAGCAACACCATGACGAGGAAGATCGCGGCTGACACGGCCAAGGGGCCTGTCCACGTCAAGAAGACGCCCAGCGCGACGAGGTACGAAAAGTTCTGCAGCCGGGACTTCTCGACCTCGCGAGCGCGCGTGATTCGGTCGCGGAACATGGCGTCCCACGCTTGCAGCTTGACCAGCTTCATGTTGCCCAAGCACTCGGCCGTCACCTGCATCCGCCGGTCCTTGGCTCGGAGCATTCCGACTCGCTGGCGCCGCATCTGGCGAATCGCCGCCATGTTCAGCGCGAGCACCACCGCGATGACCGCCAGCCCGGCCAGCGTGGAGACGCCCACCACGTAGAACAGAACCGTCACGGCCACGGTCAGTTGGAAGGGAACGGCGATGCCCTGGCCCAAGTACCAGACGACTTCCAGCAGGCGCTGCACATCCGACGAGAGCATGTTGGAGATTTCGCCCACGCTCCGCTCCTGCCGCGCCTGCTGCGACAGGCGCAGCGTCTTGCGGTACACGGCGCTGCCCACCGCGGCCCACATGCGCAGGCCCAGTCGCCGCGCCTGGAAGTTGAACTGCTGCTTGCTCAAGGCCTCGACGAGCTTGCCCGCGAACAGGCTGCCCACCAGCGCCAGCCCCCGCCGCACCGAGCGCTCGTCGTCGTACATGAAGTCGATCAGCAGATTCTGCAGCACTGGGCCCGAGAACAGCGCGCCCGACCACAGCAGCGAGAGCAGCACGCTGCAGCAGAAGGGCCCGCGGAACGTCGTCCACAACGCCCGCCCGAGCGATGGCAGCTGCGCCTCCGCCCTCTCGGCCTCCCAGGCCCTGCGGAATGCTTCCCAGTTGACCTCGCACTCGTCTGCGCGATCCAACGCCGGGAGATCGCGCAGGTCCAGTGGCTTCTGGCTCCCTGCGGTGAGCAGAGCATTGAGCCACGTGAACGTCAGTCGGCTGAACAATCCAGCGCGAGTGATCCCACCGGTTTGGTGCTGCTGTTGAGGTGCCGCCGAATCCTCAGCGCCCGCTTCATCGTCCAACAGCGGCTTTTCCACCTCCGTCGCCTCGCAGCGGGAATGTCTGTAAGTGAACGATTTGACGCAGAAGTATAGAGATGAAACCAATGGCACGCAGAGCAGCGCAACGTCGAAGCTGTAGCTGAATTCGTCGAGGGATCCCTTGACGAGCCCGGCTGCCAATTCCAGAGACGTGAGGACGGCGAGAACCACCCACCACAGGCTCAGCTGGGTGGACACGAGGAAGTGTGGTGTTTTCTGGATGGAAATCGGAAAGACTGTCCAGAACAGGACTTGACTTCCATAGAACACAATCTCGTGAATCGGGAAGAAGTTCCAGCTTGTTCGCCACCATTTCCACAAGGTGAGCAGGAGCAGTAGGCCGTATAGTATCAGAAGCGCGCGACTCAGGCATAGAGCCGACCACGAGAAACCAATTTTCTTTCTTTCCCGCCCACTGTCGAAAGAGCTTTGTATTCCGAGAATTAGGGCGACAAAACAACTCAACGCGGACACCAGGAGCGATTGGTAGCAGAGATTCAAGGAGAATGCAGCATACGCCAAATCCTTGAAGCCAAGCTGATCTATGCTACAGTTTTGTAAACGGTCCCAGGTTTGAGTGGAACTATTATCGATAAATATCCTTCTCCAGTCCATTGGTATCTCGCTGCAGCCGTCCCGTAGTCGTCCTGTCACCAACTATTCGGGTTCCTGTTGTGACACTGGGCAGTGCCAATTTGGCTTCGGGATTCCCGAGTCTACGTGAAAGCCATCGGCTCCTGAGAAGAGAGTCCTGAAGTCGACTGGCAAATCACCGAGCGAAACATCACTATAGAAGATAACCGGCATGTGGAATGGAATCAAAGGAGTAGAACTATCGAGACGTAAGGGTCTTGATAGTTTAAATCCTTGACCGTCTGCAAGCCGTCTGCCCGTATTGTGGAAGAGTACTGACTCTTCGTGTGTTTCATCTGAAACTGGGTTGGCTGGAGTTCAGGCCTCGAAGCGCAGGTCGAGCGGAATGTAGGACTGCGCCATCAATTCTGGGTTTATTAAAGCGATCGATTGATTGCACGTGCATAATTGAGAATGCAAGTGCCATAACTGATAGCAGGCGCTAATGCGAAATCTTCAGCCGGTGTTGTATCGAGAATGGACCTGCTGATGAGATCGGCAGACTCGGCCAGTAGACGATACAGTTTCGCCCTTCGATTTATTCCAGCCACTTTTCAATCTAGTGTAGTGATAACGGAGCGTATACGGCGGTGTGATCGTGGGATACTGCCGAGATACTATTTGGCAATGAAGGCTCAAGCACACCTATTCTTGCTAGAGTAGGTGTGCTTATGAATATTAGTCATCATCACACAAAAGAAGCTTGCTAGAGTAGGTGTGCTTGAAAACTCAAATCTCAGAAAAGATTAAGCATTAGTAGTCATCATCACTAAAAGAAGCTTGCTAGACTAGATGTGCTTGAAAACTCAGATTTCAAATAAAATTAAGCATTATTAGTCAAAATCACTAAAAGAAACTATAAACACTATGATAAAAATATTGTAGCAAAAATTAGTACTGGTTGCATTGGAAAAACACTTCTAGAGAGAAATCGGTCAATGCCAAGTTGAATATATGTTTGTATAATTTTAATCCAAAGAATTAGCTCTTAACCTTGTAGCCTTCCTAAGTCACACTAAGTCGTGTTGGCAACAGAGAAGTAGATCACAAGATTGAGATAGCCCCACATACATGATAGTGTCCATTCATTGTCAAACAAACAATGTAAGTTGGCACTTCATTGGATGACTACAAATGTAGCTATCTTTGTATCATTCATTCCATCAAACTTTAAGCCCATTGTAATTTTCTTGATGGTTTGAAGCGCAAATGCCGACCATGTACTTTACTACATGATCATGTGTGAACACACTTGATCATGACATTCATCTTGTTGTAGGTTTGACTTTCAACATCTTCAGAGTTCCATAACAATTTTTTGATTATGATCTTAATGATATCTTTATCAATAGTATAGGTTACATGACCTAAATTTGATAGAATCATGTTCATAAAGGGCACCTTCATTTCAAAGTAAACCAACTTTTTTTTCTTTTGAGAGTACATAATACTTGTTCTTGATATGAATGTGATAGTTTTTGGGACAAAATGTAGGTACCAATGTCTTCAAAATGATCATTTTTGAACATTTTTCATCGAATTTGCACTTGCAACCAAACTCATACAAAATACAAAATATTCAAGCAACAATAATGACACGACTAGTCTAGGAATTTTTTTATCAAATTTGAAGACCTTACACCTGTTGATGTGAAGTATTGAATTGTGTAAGGTAAGGTGCAATTGCTCTCAAAGTACTTCTTATTTCAACCATTTGTTAATTTGACACTGTGAGCCAATGAATTAGTTGGCGAGATTCACTTTTGAGATTAGTCATCTCTAAAATTTGAGATTATTCATATTAGTCATTTGTTTACAGAATATCTAATCTAGAGAGGTTGCTAATGATGTATGACATTTGAAAATGGATTAAAATCCTCATTTAGATATAAAAAAAGTCATCCTATGATGTGTGAATTTTGATGTACAATCGATCAACCAGGCCGATAGGATTTTTTTAGTGTGCTAGTACCTAATTACAAATACATAATATGTTCTAGGTTGAACAAGAAATCAAAGTAAAAAGAGGTATTTATGTTCATTTTCTTTTTAAGATATATTGGTAATTTTAAAAAAAATCAAAAAAATTTTGTATTCATTTTCCGTTAGAACATGGAAATGACCAGGAGTGGAAAACATTATATTCGCCATTTTCAAATTCTAGCTTATTGATATGACCATACCATACATTCGAAGTTTGAATGTGAGACTGTTTTTATTTCAAATTTAGAGATACATGATGTACTCTATGGTATCATTATTATATTTTTGTGTCATGTACATTTCACTTCATGTACCTGCATCGAAGTACTCATGACACACCATATATGGTGTTTCATGGACTCTTTATCTTACTATGGCTAAATATTCACGCGTGAAAGAAAATTGCACTACATAGACTAACCACGTGCATACTGGTATTACATGAGCATATGTCTCTGTGGGATCACATAGGATACGCTATTTCCTTTCTTTATCATTTCGAATTAACTCTTCTTATTGTAATATTGGCCAGCAATTTTTGATTAAATTGACTACTTTCATTAATGTTCATCTTCTTACTCAATACATGTTGTTAGCTATACATCACACTTTCAAATTTTTAGTCTCCAAATGTGCTCATTATTCTTCTTATTTCATCAAGCCTGAACTTTTATTTTAACTTTTAAACTATAATTTTTGCAGTAAAGAATTAAGATGATGAAAAACGTATATCTTCCATCATGCTCATCAACTGAAATTATGTTCATTAGAAAATGCCCAATCGTTATCAAATGGATGTAGATGATGTGTGTTGAACTCTTCAACTAAAAATGTTCTACATCATAGGCGTGGCAAGAATCAAATTCTCCAAGTATATGGGCTTGCAGTAGGATTCTCCTTTTTGTTACTCTAGCTTTAGAATAGTATGAACTATGAATATGGATTTTGACATGTTTGTTGAAACATATGCAAGATTTTACTAAACTAAGTGTATCACTTATTCTAGGTTCCTGTGTAATGTATCCATTTAGACAACATGTTTCTATTTGTATACAAGGAACACTAACTATTTTAGTATGTAGAAAAAGAATCATATCATATAATCTATTTTATTCAAAATATTTATACTATAACACAAAGAACATCAAATACCAATAATAAAAAGTATCATATTAGTTTATGTGCAGTAACATGCATTCTTTATCGTTGGTTTTATTGATGTTGATAAATTGGATGTTCAGTGTGTTGTATGATTTATTATACTATTGGAATCATGGTAACTTTCATCGTCGGTTTGATACTTGCACCTTCCCATCTAATTTTTACACACTTTACAAGATAGATTTGCTTGATGGGATACCATCCAAAGGTAAATTGCTTGATAAGACCCATCAAGTTTCAATTTACCCGATGGGATCCCACTGACGGTGTGCCGTCGCTGAGTTCTAGTATGTGTTCTAGTACGGGTATGTTCTTGTAAAAATATATAGCATAGCTTCAAAAAGCTGATCGATCATTCTAATATATTCCCGCGGCATCCACGCTCTCAGATTTCAAGTCGAATAGAATTGGGTGCCCGAAACTAAATTGTTCAGAAGGCAGCGCTCGATCTAGCAAGCATACAAACTAAACCTTCCTTATACTGAAGCCAGCAGCGGACCGAGCTATTTTTTCATCTTTCTCATCTTACCGTCCCATTCTTCCCAAAAAAGCGGTTCAACAGGGCCAGACTCTACGCAGCCATGCGAAGTGATACTGAAGTTAACACAAAGTGTACTTCACGTATACTCTTCTGTTCATATTAGAACAGTGGATGAAATTAGACAGCGTAAATTGAAATTTGATGTGTACTATCAAGCAAATATCTCCACTTTACACACACTGTAACCGTTATGTATTACATGTATTCTCATGTCTGTCCATATACTCCCTAACTTAGATGTCACGACATTCCTTCTACCATGCCATCCATCTAGCCCTGTTTGTCGACCATCATGGTCTGAAGTCATATGACATCCCATATGTAAGCCCGTAAAACCCTTTTACAAAGACATGGTCTTCGCTGGTTGCAGGGTGACCAAACGCTTTGATCTGAGCACGTTGAGAGTCCGGTAACGACAGAAGCAATAGCATCTAGTATGTCGTGACAAAAATATCCTAAGCTGAGTGAAGTACACTAGGCCTCATCTGACCCTACTGAAAGCCCTACTTGTAAAGAGTCAGGAATACAGAGTCCGTGTTGATTGCGATTCATCGACCGCATTTTCTAATCATATAATGTACTCACTCAGCCCAGCACCTTCCATTGAAAAGCCAGGCATAGCAGAACAACATAAAGGACGGGACCTTTGGGTCACGACATACTCAAGGTCTATAATTACTATTGTTGCATCTACTTCTGTTTTCCCCATCCTCCTATCACGCTCCAGTTCTTTAAGCCCACTTTGGCATAAGGAGCAAACAAACGGTTGCTCTGACTTGTGAACTTTCTCACAACCTAGGGTACGTAGGTTATGTTTATTATTGCAAATTGGAGTCACTCTTGACGTCAAGGACGAATATATATCGAACGGCCTGGAGTCTTATTGAGTCTTTCGTAAGTCATGGACGGCTCAACTACTTACTTCGTCAACCCGGGCATAAAACCCTGGTTAAAGGCTATTGAAGAGATCCAATCCTTAGATGCAAGAAAGTACATGGCTTTTGAAAGATGACGTTCGCATTAAGCATCCCACGGTGCCTCATGATGTCTTCCCTTTTTCTCTTTGACGAGGACCTCCCCTTGACTAACTTCGTTGATCATATTGCGCTAAATGGCATATAGGACGCAGAAAAGAAACAAACAGGACATCACGGTCATCCTAAGGACATGTTCTAAACTCCAGCCGTGAAAGTCATAAAGATAAACTAGATTGTTGTAATTCTCTTTCACTGTGGTTACATAAGTGTAAAGACGTCGATAAATACATTATACATCTCATCTATTCTATTCATTCATTTTAAACATTCAGAACATTCAAAAAAATTACAATAGTTTTCAAACATTTTATGAAATATGAGTTAAAGAGATGAGGTGCTTAAGGCCAGAAACATGCATACGATGAAACATCTCGTCAACATGGAGTAACCTCTAAAGGTTTAAACATTTCACTATGAGATATAAGATTACTTTGCAAAAATTAACAGAAATAGCAGGAAGGATTTTTATTTTTTAGCTTTCGCAAGGATTTTTTGTTTTAATTCAATCATATGTAATTCATATGTGATACTTTTGTTTCATTTTTCTCGATTTGTGCGTGTCATCCTTGCGCAGGGACCATGCTAATCTTCTTTATGTCATTCCAATAAAATTCATGAGTATATTTTCAAACATGAAAATATACTC